TGGCAGATCCCCAGAGCAAGACCTTCCAGACCCCCTGAGAGGCCGTTGGCACCCCTGCCAGCCCCCTGCCAGCAGATACAGATACCTGGCCTCTCCTCCAGGAGTCGGGCCCTAGAACATGGCCTGGTGGGCGGGACTAATAAAGGGCATGGCACACAGATCTGTGGACCAAGGCACCAGCAGGCCACACCTACTCAGAGCAACTGGTGGGGACAAGTATATTCAGAGGAGTCACCACAGGGACAGATTTCAGGAGCTGAGTGACAAAAGAGAAACCAAAGCAAGAGGATGTTCTGGGGGAGATGAGGACAAGCCTAAACAAAACAAAAAGCCAGATGAACCCTTGAAACACTCTGTGGGTGAGTGTGGGAAGGAAAACAGGCACGCCCATCCCAGTGGGGGAGGGGCTGATGGCTATGGCCCTGTGCCCATCAAAGGGGGTGAAGTCATCAGATTCCCTACCGTGGATTCATTTTCCTACCAAAGACAGACTGCCCACCCAGGGTGCCAGGACCATGCCCATAACAGAAACGTTCAATAGCCTTTTATTTATTTTGAGAAAAAGAGAGTGAGTATATAAACAGGGGAGGGACAGAGACATAGAGAATCCCAAGCAGGCTCCGTGAGTCAGGGCAGAGTCCAATGTGGGGCTTGATCCCACGGACGGTGAGATCATGACCTGAGCCAAAATTGAGTTGAAAGCTTAACCAACTGAGACACCCAAGCATCCCATTCAACTGCTTTTTAAAACACGGGATCTTTTTCCAAGAGTTGAAGTGGAAAGGGACCAACATCTGTGAGGATCTACTATGTCTGGTGCTGGGGACTGTAGACACATCCTCTCCTGTTATGAGGCAGATAGAGGAGTTCTTACAAATGAGTAAAGTCTTAGCAAAGTCAAGGTCCTGCCCAATGTCCCAGGGTAAGAGGCAATGCTGGAATGGTCTGACCTTGATGCCCAAGGCCTTTCCTTCTATCTGCAGCCTCCTGAAGCTCAGACTTATCAGCTGAACAAGACGCGAGAGTGCCCATGGCTTTTCCAAACCAGAAACAGGTGGGTACAAGCTATTTCTTCCTGGAAATACTGGAGTGTTTCCTTAAAAAGCTGGGCACCATCACCTACCAGATAAGGCTATATGAACCCTCCTCCTAGCACTTGGCCTCAAAAAAAGAAGTTGCCAAAGGTGACTGGTGCAGGCTCTTTAACAGCTCAAGCCATAGAGAGAGAAATTGCTCCCATGTTCCCAGGGACAAAGGCAGAAGAGGGCAATGAACCAGAGCCAGGCTGACAGTGCCCTCCCTGCTCTGTCCACTTTCCAGCTGGGCAGATCAGGCTGGAGGTAGACAGCTACCCTACTGCTCAGCCCAACCCCTGCCTTGGCAAAGGGGTCAGCGTCTGCCCAGGTTGCTTTTGGAAACTTGCCGCCCACTGCCTCCTCATTGCTGAGGCCCCTCACAGATGGAGCAGCAGAGCTATTGGGGGGCTGGAGCCAGCAAAGGGCTTGCTCGCCTCTTAGGCCCCCTATCCAGTAGCCAATAAGGTGAAGACACTCACGTGTGGAAGCCTCTGAAGGGCCACATGGGCCACAGCTGCAGCCAAGGAACTATTCCCAGGGAACAGCCTCTGTGGCATCAGGCTCCCATGGGGCAAGAGCCTCTCTGTCCCCAGCTACATCCCCTGAACGGCCCTTTGTAGCTGAGAGTCCCAAAGCCAGGACTTCAGAAGGAAAGCACCAGAATCCTTGAGGCTCACGATAAACTTATAATTGACGTCCACCCCTAACTTCACCAAGTGAGTCAGCCTCACATGGGCCGAGAGGAGGTGTGACCAACTGCATGCCGGAGAACCACCAAACTGCTGCTATGGTCAGATGCCTGGGTTGACAAGTTGCCCTCAATGCAGTACAGAAGACCCGGGCTGCATTGGATGACCCTGATCTTAGCTCTGGCACTTGGCAAGTGCCTCCATCCTGGTGCCCCTGTGCTTTTAAAAGACAACTAAATAGATGGGGCACCTGGGTGGCTCAGTCGGTTAAGCATCCAACTTTGGCTCAGGTCATGATCTCACGGTTCGTGGGTTCAAGCCCCATGTCAGGCTCTGTGCTGTCAGCACAGAGCCTGGGGCCTGCTTCAGATTCCGTGTACACCTCCCCTCTCTGCTCCTCCCCTGCTTGCACTTTGTCTCTCTCTCTCAAAAATAAACATTAAAAGACAACTAAATGGTATATCAGACTGGCAGCCTCAACCCAGGTAAGACAGTGTCAGCCCAATAGCACTGCTTCCCCTGACCCTTCTCCCTGACGCTCTGTTGGTGCTCCCCCAGAGGAGCTGGCTTGGGCCCTGCCCTCATGTGGGACACAGGCACTTCCCTGGCACACACCCAGAGCCCCCTCCCAGCTGAGGGCTGTCTCACCCCCAGCGTCGGCTTCCTGTGGCTAGCTTCTCTAGCTGGTGCACCGCCCCCCACCCAGCCAGCCCTGCTTTTCTCCCAGGTGTGGAACTGAAAGCAAGAGGGGTGTGCTCCACTTGGCCAAAAAACTCAATAGTCTTCCCTCCCACAGCTCTCTCTGGGTCGCGCCCAGGGACAGTCACAAGGAGGTCCTCCAAGTCCAAACCAAAGTTTCATGGGGTTCCCTCCTGCTGAACCATTACGAGGTCATGTAGCAGCAAGGCTGGGACACAGCAGCCACAAGGCCTGCTGGCCTCCTCCACAGACCAGTGATCTAAAAACAAGAGTGAAATCACAGTTTGACATCTAAAAGCTGTGGGGCGGGGCGCCTGGGTAGCTTAGTGGGTTAAGTGTCCGACTTCGGCTCAGGTCATGATCTTGCGGATCGTGGGTTTGAGCCCCTTGTCAGGCTCTGTGCTGACAGCTCAGAGCCTGGAGCCTGCTTCGGATTCTGTGTCTCCCTGTCTCTCTCTGTCTCTCCTTTACTTGTGCGTGTGAGCACTCTCTCTCTCTCGAAAATAAACTTTAAATAGATAAATAAAATAAAAGTGGGTGTGTGAGGCAAGTGAGTAGGGTAGAAACTGTAGAGACTTGGATACTTGTCCCAGTTCTGCCACCCCAAGCTGCATGGGACCCAGCAATTCAATTCACACCACTCTCTGGGCTTCAGTTGCCCCACCTGGATCAAAAGTACTTTCAAATCAGCCGTCCTCATCTGTGATGGAATCCCTGGGCACCGGGGATCCAGTGGGGATCCCGGGGGCTGCTCAGTCACACACTTCAAGAAGTGGCTTGTGGCAGCTGGGCCTGATGGGGGCACAGAACGTTAACACTCGTCACCAAATAGCCCCGGTGCGCATCTTCCTGGAGAGACAGGCCAGGGAATGGACTTCACGAGCAGGGAGCCCAAGAGGACTATACATCTGCAAGGGGCTATGCGAACCCAGCTGTCCCTCGGCCTGGTTCCCACATTTCCAGGTTCAACGGCAGACAAGCAACCGCGCTGTCTCATTTGGTCCCTGTTTCACTTCTCCAGAACAATGTCAGTGGGTTTCCTTTATGTATTTGATGCTGTGCCCAAACGCGGGACTGGCATTCAGACACCACATTTCTAGGGTTATGAGGCTAAGAGGTGAGTCAGCTGTTTAAAGAACCCTGTAATCACACACACACACACACACAGCACAACAGATCACTTGGCATGTATCTGTTTGCATGATGTTTCTGGATATTGCTTTCTCTTTCTTTCCATGGGGAGCAGGAGAGACAGCACCATTTGTGTGGTTTTCAAATGGCCTCCTGGTTGTAAGATCTCAAACTGGTCACACACAGATCTGAATAACTGACTTGCCAAAGAACTGACAAAGGTGGCTCTGCACCAAGAACAGAGGTCGCCCAGCCCAGTGACCAGATATTACACCTGGATGTGCCAGCCACAGGGGATGGAACGTGTCCTGCACTCCAGACATGTGACATGGAGGACAAGGGGCCACCACGGGCTGAGGGCAGCAAGCAGGCTTCCAGGTCCCAAGGAAGCAGAAGAAAAGGCCCGTGCTCCCACACCGAGCCATGGCCACTGGCCCACATGTGCCTGATTCAGATGGCCATGGATCCAGAACCCTGGTCAGACACCTCACACCTTGCTTCCTGCCAGAGATACATGGGCATCCCATGGCCTCCCTCAGCCTTCGGGAGCCCGTCCCTACCCTCCACTCTGCCTGCCCCCCTGCTCACAGGTGGATAAGGGGACAAACTGAAAGCTCTGGTCTTTGCACCCCATGTCCAACTTGGGTGTGGCAACTATGTCCCAACAGGGGACATTCCAATGACTGCTGTGCCCAGCAGGAGACAGCTCAGCTGTAATCGGGGGGCAGTTGGGGGGAGGGGGTGAGAGGGTGACTCCAAGGCCAGCTGCTTAGAGCATGGCAGGCAGCCCACCTCACCATGGTCCAGTGCCTGGCCACTGCCCACTGAGGGAGTCCAGGGCACCAGCTGCATTGGTGAAGGTCACTCAGAGAGGTCCCTTGATTCAATTCCAGGAATTCCCAAACACACACACAGGAAGATGTCCACCCTAAGCACTTGCCTCTGAGAAACACCTGTTAGGGTCTGTCTCCAAGGCATCAACGTCTACAGAATCCCCTGGAGACCCCAATGGCAATTCAGGGCATGGGGTCTGGGTCTCTCTACTTGACCAGTAGACCAAGGGATGCCTGAGGTCACTTGGGGGCAGATTCCATGCAACTCCCTGGGGGGAAGTGTGCCAATCATGTCTGGATGGCTCCGCCCCACTCCCAACCAAGTTAGCTCCTGCACCCCCTTCTCAGTTGCCATAACAGGCCCAGCACTTCTGCCGGAGCTCACAGGTCCCATGAAGGGCAAACCTGTTTCTGCCTTTCGCTCCACTGCCCAGACTGTAAGGGACCACAGAAGCCATCCCCAATGGGCTCCAAGGGAAGGCCCACCTCAGGTGAACCCCAGCCCTGCATGTGTCTCAAGGCAGCACCTCTGTCTCTCTCTGTGCCACTCAGTGCCAGACTAATGGCCTCACCTGATGCCCATGGAGAGTATAGAGCAGCCGGCCCTCCATGAGGTCCAGGATCTTCAGGGTCGAGTCACTGGAGGCCGTGAGCAGGTAGTTTCCAGATGGGTGGAAGGAGAGTGCATTCACTGCTGCGCTGTGCACTAGGAAAGGGACATCAGTCAGGCACTGGCTGGGAGGCCGGGGGATACAGCTGAAGCCCAGAGACGGGCAATCGGGGCCAACCAAGGCTCGGCACAGGGCTGGGCCAGGGTGGCCACAACTCTAAGGAAACTGTAGGGAGCCCCACAAGGATTTCCCAGAAGAGCAGCACAGCCAAAGCACAGGAGCAGACTCGTCCAGAGCGAGGACCGGCAGCGGGAGACGTAGGACAGGCGGGCGCACAGGTGTCAAGGCCGGTGGGATCAGGTGATTCCTCCACCACTCACCACACAGAGTGTCGAGCTCAAACACAATGCTCCATCTGTCTGTCAGACTGCTACTCGGAGCACAGTGGATGGAAAAGAAAGCCCCTGAAGGGCCAATACCATGCTTCTGCCCTACAAGAGTGTGGGCCAGGCGGGCAGATGGTAAGACACTCTCAGGAGCTAGTGAGGCCCGGGTTCCAATCCTGGCCTCCTCGCTGGCCCACCTATGACCTTGAGCAAGCACCCTGACACATGTGAGCCAGTTTCTCCTGCTGTATCATGGCACTCATGTGTTAGGGGTGCTGAGGGGATAAGCCTGCCTATGAAGCCTCTGTACAGAGTGAGCCCTCAGATATGCCTCTCTGCTGCCCCTGGTGTCACACGCAGCTTCTAGGTCCTGCCACCGTACCCAACACACAACAGCAAGACCCCATCTGTGACTTTCTTTTCCTCACTGGCCTGACCCGAGCCCCACCATCCATCCCGGTGTCCCTCACTCTGCAAGATCCAGCCAGCCCAGCCCTGTCAGCTCTCCAGGTGCTCCCCATGGGCCCGGGGGACTCCTGCCTCCCTCTTCCCCTGACCTTAAAGCTCACTGCTCAGGTACCTCCTCCGAGAAGCCTCCTGGCCTCCCTGGGGCCACCCCCTTGAACTGTGCTCCTGAAGCACCATGAGTCTCCGGTGGGTTCACGCCTCACAGCAGTGTTTTACATTTACGTGTAGCTGTTTGATTCAGGGCTGGTCCCCATGAGACTGTGTCTTCTGTCAGGCAAGGGCTGCTTTGGGCCCTTGCCTCAGTGTCAGGCACTGAGCAGGACTCAGAAAGCAGTGGGTAAGTGGGTGAGTTGGACCCAGGCATGTCACATGGGGATGGCAATGTGAGGACCGGCTACACTGCAGCTTCTAAAGCAGCTGCCGAAGCAGACCCTGGTGCCTTCACACCCACCATACAGTCCTGGTGGGGACACCAGCGGGGAAAAGATAACCGCGGCCTGCCAAATCAGAACAGCCACAAACAGAAAGGTAACTTCTAAAACCAACCGCTCATCCTGGCCCCATGAGGCTGCAAGAAGGCCAATGAACACAACCGCCACAAAATGGACTTCAGTGGAACCCACAGAGGTGCATGGAGCCCCTCAGACACCAGCCCAGCTGATACGCTCATATGCCTGGGGAATGTGAGTACGTGTTCCCAAGCACACTAGGGGGAGACAGCCAAGGCTTTACATAACATGATATTTATGTCTGAATACTCTTTAAGCACCGGAACTCCAGAAGCCAGCCTGCAGAGGGACTAGTGGGGTCTGCGGCGGGGGAGGTCAGCATCCTCAGTTTACTTAGATTTGGGGCACAGAGAGCAAAAGAATACAGCCACAGCTGACCCCAGCAGGAAGTGAACCGGTGCCAGCCACAGGCAGTAGCAGAAAGAACATTAGGAATGCAGAGTGTGACTGTCACCACCCACATGTGGAGGGGCACACACATGTGCAGAGGGATGTGGACAGCAGCTCCAGGTAGGGCCCTCCTATACAGTCCTATAGGTATGATAGAAATAAGGGAATTTTTACTCCACATACTTCCAGAAATTTTTTTAACCATCAGTATATAGTCACTGTGATTACACAACTGGGTGAATGATAAAAAGCAAATCCTTAACGGGGCGCCTGGGTGGCTCAGTCATCAAGCATCTGCTCTTGATTTCAGCTCAGGTTGTGATCTCACGGTTTGTGGGTTCAAGCACCACATCAGGCCCCTCGCTGACAGGGCAGAGCCTACTTGGGATCCTCTCTCTCCCTGCCCCTCCTCCACTTACATGTGCTGTCTCTCTCAAAATAAATACACTTTAAAAAAAAAAAGTGTGGGGGTGGGAGGAACCTGAGTGGCTCAGTCAGTTAAGTGTCTGACTTCAGCTCAGGTCATAATCATGGTTCATGGCTTTGACCCCCACATCAGGCTCTGGGCTGACAGCTCAGAGCCTGGAGCCTGCTTCAGATTCTCTGTCTCCCTCTCTTTCTTTCTCTGCCCCTCCCCCACTTGTCTTCTCCCTCTTCTCTCAAAAATAAATAAACATTAAGAAACAAAACAAAACAGATCCTTCCCTCCCCTCAACAGACAGTTATGTCCAGGGAGGCAGAGCCCAGGCCTAGCTTGGCATCTGCCAGCACCTCGGGTTATGAGTCTATAGGCTAAGGACTAGTGCCCCGCGCTCCTAAGGGGCCAGCTGTGCTCACCAGATTGCTGGGTCACACGGGTGGTGAAGTGAGGTGCGAGGAGGGCCAAAACACTGTGAGCTGTCCCCCCGGGGAGCCCTGCTACCCTTGACCCCCCAGTCCCACAGCAGAACAACTACCCCATGCCCCATCTCCCCTTGGGCCTCTTCAAATGCTGCTCCTGGCACGTCTGCCTCCCTGAGCCTGGAGAAAGGCACTCTATTCTCATTTTTGCGACCTTTGGCAGCCTGTACTGAAAAGAACGCCACGCCTCTCCCCCCCACCTGAGACAAAGGTGGAAGAGGAGCAGCCAGGGTCAGGAGGGTGGATCAAAGAGGGTGAGCTCAGGAAGCCCAGGCTTCCCAGCACCACCAGGCCAGCGGGGTCACGAGGTGCATACCATGCCAGGCCCTCCCACCTGGGCAGGTTCACCAGGGGAGGGACTCTCCCACAGAGGAAGGACACCGCGAGCCCGGCTCCACTATAAATGGCAGGATTATCAAAGGCCTCCTAGCTGTGGCAAAAACATCTGAAACCATTCACTCCAGAAGAGGGTTCAGACTGGGGGCTGAAGATGTACCAGGCGCCAGGACCTATTGCCTTTCCCTCCTTGTTCTGCTGCCTTGCCCAACAGCCCCACCAGCCTGGGGCAGGCTCTTGGGCTCTATAGAGGCAGGAGAGCCATTTAGGGAGGCCCTGTCCTAAGAGTCAACCCTGCATGATAGTTCCCCAGGTAGGCTCCTACCATTGAGTCCTGAGCAGTGACTGTGCAGGATTAATCCACATTTCATCAAGCCCAAAGCTCATAGGCCCTCATCTTGCTTCCATGGCAGTTATTGGTATTAACTGACGGCAGATTGACATTTGGGCACGGCTGTGGGCTTCTGGCAAAGGAGACACTCCAACTCAAGGTCAAAGATATACCAACATCAAGATTCTACAGGCCACCAGGAGCCAAGAGAGGGAGGGATTGAGGCCACTGCAGACCCTGCCCTGGGAACTGGCCATGGCTTGTAGCTAGCACGTGGCCTAAGGAGGGCACCCACAATCCACTCTTCCCACATGGCTCCGTGTGTACAAGCCCTCGCAAATCTGGCTCACTGCCCAAGGAGCCCAGAGAACCCGCAGTTACCCAAGTAGGAGGTGCCTTTCTACAGCGGGCCACACCTGACCAAGTCCTACCCCACCCTCATCACAAAGGGCTCAGCTCACTTCACCCGGGGTGGCTTCTCATAATGCACAACTGGCATGTCCCATGACTTTGGGTTTATGAGGGGCTACGAATTCATACACTGAACATGCTGATACTGGCAGAGAAGGGTGCTCAAAACCCTCCTCTTTGTGAATGCCACATAAATGCCCACTTGGGGATGGTGGGGGAAAAGGCAATGAGCTGACCAGACAGGTGGGACAGTACACTGCCTCCTGACCAATGCTTTTGGTCTCAAAAACCAAGCAAAGGGTGCAGGTCTGCCGCACTGGCTGCACAGATGCCTTAAAATCCTCTGTGACTGCATGTGGGGTAGGACAGAAGGGTGTGTTAAGAACCAATAGAGGAGCTGCCTGGGTGGCTCAGTCAGTTAAGCGACTGACTTTGGCTCAGGTCATGATCTCAAGGTTCGTGAGATCGAGCCCCATGTCGGGCTCTGTGCTGATGGCTCAGAGCCTGGAGCCTGCTTCAGATTCTGTGTCTCCCTCTCTCTCTGTCCCTCTCCCACTCCTGCTCTGTCTCTTTCTCTCAAAAAATAAATATCAAAAAAAATTTTTTTTATTTAAAAAAGAAAGAAAAAAGAAAGAACCAATGGACAGAGAACCTGGGACTCTGAGCTCTAACTGGAATTTCTGGAAAGGCCCAGGCCAAGGCCTCCCAGAGGCCTCAGGAAGTAAATGACTAGAATCAACACAGTGTAAGAAGCCAGCAAGGAGTGGTGAACAGAATGCCAGATTCAGAGGCCTTGAACTGGGAGACTCAGACTCCCAGCTTCCCAGCTGTGTGACCGTGGGCAAGCCTCAAACTCCCCATCTGTGAAATGGGGAGTAGCCCTGACATCCACCCAGGACCTGCACGTGCCTGTAAACCGCAAACCACATTATGGGTTCCGGATGGGGGCTGCTGCTCAGATGTTTAAACAGCCTTGATGTGGGCTCAGAGCATATGGAACCGAACCCACCTCCGTGGGGACTGGCGCTCCCGGGGCTCCAACAGCCCCACCAGCTCCTTGCTGAATTGGGAAACCAAAACTGCTCCCATCAGTGACAGGCCAGAGCCAAGAAATTCCTTCCCTGAGAAAAATGGCACCAGCTGCGTGCTGTTGCCCAAAGCGACTTCCAACAAGCTAACACGGGACAGGAAGTGTCCTCCAGGAAGCACAGCCGTGGGGCAGCTGGACACGGGCAAGCTACAACTGCTGACCACATACTGCAGTAGCATGAATCAAAGTGTCTCAGAAAAGCCCAAGAGTTCATGTGCCCAAAGCCCTCTCAGGAGCGCCTGGTTCTCACCCAGAGCCACCAAGTGTCACGGTGTCCCTAAAAACTCTCCTCTGGGTTTCCCAGGAATCGGGGACAGAAAATAGCTCAGGTGTCTGCTGTCAGAGGGCCAGAAGACCTTCTCAGGGAATCAGCCTCCAAACAAATGCCCCTGCACCTCCAAGGGTGGGGGAGCAGCTGCTACGAAGGGGCTAGGGAGAGCCTCTCAGGTAGAGGAGCTCTTAAGGGGAGCCACTAGGCCTGAGCAGACCTGGTCGGGTCACTCTAGCAGCACAGAGGGTGAGGGGTACGTCCCCCAACCAATGTGCTCAGATCCACCTGGCTCTCCCTGAGCCCCAGAGGGTGAGTCTAGAAGTAGTGGGAAGAACTGCTGCCCCGTGAATACCCGCCTTGCGCCATGCACTGGGCAGGGAGCTGAGGAAACCTGGTAGTGTACGGGGTACTCCAGGCCACCTGAGGCCTCTGATCTATATCGGGGTGGTTTAGAAACGAGACACTGCGTAGCTCTGTCACAGAAGAAAGGACAAGAGCAAAAACTCACTGAAATCTCTCTGCAGAGCCCATCAACCTCATGCACCCCAAGTCCCCTCAGGACTTGGCTCCTGATGCCACCTGAGCCCTCCCACTGCCTCCCCAGCCCTGCCAGTCATGGACTCCCCCCCCCACTGCCAAGCCTGCTCCCTCAAAAACCCCAGGGTTTTTTCCCCCCTCTCCAGCACCCGTCTCCCCCCTCAACTGCTCTGCATCACTCCACCTCCTGACCACCCTCTTCGGGAGACTCTGCTTTCCTCCATACCCCTGGCTCTGCCCCCCTCAGCCCTCCCACGATGGGAGAGGGGGCTCTCCCCCTCACATTGACTGCTTTGTGGACTTTTCCCTTCATGGCCCCTCAATCGCAGAGACCAAGGATATGACCTGGGCCCTTCTCAAGCCCTAGGAATGGCCCCTCTACCCACAGCATTACCTTCTGACTCTATTCCATCTCCAAAACCCATCCCCTGGTCCTGACCCCTGCCCTACTCGGATGCCCAGCCCTCACTCAGACATGTGGTACAGGCAGCCCATCATCCAGACACTCAGCAGTGCTGAGACCCACTCACAGAGACATTTCAGCACTGCTGTCCTCTCAGACATATCTTCACTCCGCAAACCATGGGACAGTCCCACCACTGCCAGCCATGCTGCATCTTTGGGACCATGGGCGAGAGTATGACATTCAAGGTCCTCCCCAATGGGTACCTGCTGGTACACCCCACAAACACCTGGCCCAGGCTCCTGATCCATCAGAGGTGAGGCTGGACCCTCCCAGGATCAGCTAGAGATCGTCTCCCCCCAGTGCCAATACTTATGTGGTACAAAATAATAAAGAAAATAAAGAAAGTCTTATGTGGTACAAACCATGTTTCCAGCACTCTACTATAATTCTCATGTGGATCCCCCAACAGTTCTTCACAAGCCCCATAAGGCACTGTTACCACCCCCTTTATAGACAGGAAACAGCCTATGCTCCTAACCTTCCCTTCTCTCCTGACCCCATACTCAGAGGCGCATTCCTGCCCAGCACTCCTTTTTACCTGCCAAACTTCCCCTAGTCAACTGTACAGATGTGCCCAATCTCCAATACAGGCCTGGCTCAGAGAGAGGTCTCTAAGCCTGAAGGAGGGGAAGGAGAGGTGTGGTCTCCAAGTACAGGTAGACCCCATATCTGTTCTGTTCTAGAAGCTCTGTCTGAAATGGTATCTGTGACAAACCCCAGGGCTCACTGCAGAGGAAGGAACCAGTTATGCGGCTGGCCCCTGCCACCTGGTGGTGGTGTAGGGTAGCGCAGGCCTTGACTGACAGGGCCCTCCTTGCCCAGAGAACAGACTCCAGGACCAAGACTTGGCAACACCAGCATCATCATGAACATAGTGCCTGTTTTCTGCTTTGTGCCAGGCACTCTCTAAGTTCTTCATACGGACCAACTCGTTACCCTCCCAACAGACCTGTGAGAGAAGCCCTATCACACTGCCCCAGAGTGCTCAGAGGAGTCAAGTGACCTGTCCAATGTCACTCAACCAGAAACGCTGAGGCTGGCTGCGGAGCCCACCCTCCACCATGTGCTTCTCAAGGCCAGGAGCCTCTATCCCTTCTGAGAAGGTCTGTGTGCCTCGGTTACCCTAGAAAGTGCTGTCCTCACTGTCTGAGAATCAGGTAGGAAGAGCTTAAAGGAGAGCTCTGAATGCCAAGCCCCATAGCTTTGTCCAGATGCGTCCTTCCTGTTTTCAGGTGTGAATTCTGGAAGTGGCCCATGGACTTTAAACTCAGTCCCAAGTCAACAACCACAGCTCTGCAAACAACTCCAGCTCCGCCCCTCCCTGGTCTCAGCGCCAGGCCCCCAGGCCCGCCTCCATTTGCTCCTTGCACAGCCCCCAGTGCCTCCTGTGGCGCCTCACCAGCTTCCTTCCCTGGCCGCATCCCCACCACTGAGGTGACTCATGGCCCTGCCCAGTCACACTGCTCTCAGGACAGTTCCATACGCCAGTACCCTGAGCGGGAGCCTCCTAATCACACCCGAGTCTGCTCCTGCCCCACCTCCCAGCTGCAGCCTGACGCCGGCCCACGTTGAGTGCCTGCTGCTCTGCCTCCTGAGGGCTACAATTAGATCACGGGACACAACTACAGGGCCTGTATCCTGGCCTCTAGCCTAAGTTGACCCTCCATACGGCTCATGGCTCCATGTCTGTGGAGGACATCATGAAGCCAAAAGTGGCCAAGGTCTCACGAACACTGACCTCTTTTGAGAGACCTGCCCCCCTTCACCTTAGTTAGTCCTGGAGGCGAATAGCAGGGGCAGCCCCTGAGAAGTGGCGCTTGGGCAGAGCCCTGCCCAGAGAGCCACTGAGAGCTCCTCGGCACTGCACGAAACCCTGCCAGCTCATGAGCAGGCACCAAAGGGCTTGGGGACACCAGGCAGTGCCATGATCTGCCAGCACTCCAACCTGGCATAGCCACAACACAGACTACTCGCCCGGGCGATCCCAGCAGGCCTGGGACTTCTCCCCACTGACCAGGGCCATCCTCGGGCCCATTTAAGCACCACGGCAATGAGCCCGACACCTGGCCCCACATGGTCCCGCCGTGGCTGCTCGTGGACACTCACGCTGATAGTGCTGCAAGAGCCGGTGCATCCGCACGTCCCACACCTTCACTGTGTTGTCCATGCCGGCGGCTGCAACGCACGTGCCGCTGGGGTGGAAGTCCACGTAGGTGACAAAGCTGGAAAGACAGGGACCACCGCATGCTATAGGAGGGTTGTCCTGGCTCAGAACAGACCTGAAAACATCCAGCACTTTCCCACCCCTACGTACCTGCTCAGGCTGCCCCCTCAGCCCAGAATACCTCTCTTCTGCCCTGTTTCTTTACCAGGTGGCTACGGAATAGCAAGGAGAGGGAGAACAGAGGCTAGCAATAAGCAGAGGTGGCCTCGACAGGGAGCAAATCCCGACATCCACTTCTACAAGTAGAGAAAGTGGTCTTCAGTCCAAACGTCAGTTGATGGCTCAGGGGTTTTCAGACTGGGAGCCAGTGCCCTCATCAGAGCAGGAGGCAGGGCAGGCCTGCCAGCTGAGGCCCAGTCCCAAGGGCCAAGAGCACCCCAGGGCTGCTGGTTCACCCAGCTCCAGGGGACAGGCCAACGGCCCTCAACACACCCACACCTAACAGCCAGGATGATATCACAGCCAGCTCTCAGGAGCCTGTCCTCGGGGCTCCCAGCCTAACTGAGGAGAGCAGACGCTGGGTGTCACTGAGGAGCCCAGAGTAGGTGAGTCCCTCTCCTGGTGACGTGGCACCTTGTGAATAGCCTCCAAGAACTTACAAGAACATGACAAGCTTTTTCCTTTATAAAGCCATCACCATAGGTAACATACTAACATGATTTAGGGGGGTCCAGGGCCACCTGCTTTCAGACAGGCATGTCACAATTCGGAGAACTGGAGAAATAAAGGGAAAAAGAGAGGCCCCAAGAGTTACATGCTTTGAAGTTAAACACCCCTGTTGTTTGTGGGGTTGGGGGTGAGGCTGAACCTCCCATTCACACAGAAAAAGCTTCAGAGACAGAGAGCAGCAGAGACATGGCTCCGCATGGGGCCCCTCATGACTAGGTTGTGCAGGTGGTAGACAGGGTCTGGTGACTTACCTGCCATGCTCACAGTAAGAGTGGACACACTCCCGGCTAGTCTTGTCCCACAGCTTGACAGTCTTGTCGTCACTGGCAGACACAATGAGCCGCCCATCAGGAGAGAACCTGAACCAGAGGGGGCACAAGTCACACCACTGTCAGGGGTGCTGCACCCTGTCCTCCACAGCCACCTTTCTGCACCGCCCACTACCCACTCCCAGAACTAGCCAAAGCCACACACCGTGCCTGGACCCCGAGTGATCCTGGGTAAGCGGCTTTCCCTCCGTGAAATGGTAAGAATGGCGCCTACCTCATGGGGAGCAGGGAGCAGCGTTGTGCACACAAGGACCCCAGCACTGCACGTGGCACACGACAATGCACGTGGTGACCTCTGATGCTATCAGCGGGAAGGTGGTCCAAAGCCCACCATCAGCACCATTATCCTGTTCCCAGGTCCCCCAAGTCTCCATACTGTCTCCCCCCACCCCACACACACACACAAGGGAGAGCCAACCTTTAGACTAGGCCCCTCAGAAGCCAGGGTCCCCATCTGATAGTTCAAGCAAAATCAACTTCTGAGAGTTCAAACCCTAGCTCTGCTATTAACTTCACAAGATACTTCACTCTTCTGAGCTTCAGCGTCCTTATATGCATAATGAGAATACTAAGCACCACTTAGCTTGCAGGACTGCCGTGAAGAGTGACGAGAAAACGTACAGTGGCAGCCGCAACATCATCTTGTTGTTGCTATTGCTCATACACAGCCCCTGCTGACTCGCTTTGGGCCTCACCAGCACGATGTCAGGGGTGATCAATCAAGGCTAGCAAAAAACTAACTTACTTATCCCCTACAAGCTTGAAGCTTCTCAACAATTGACAATGTAACAACTTCTTTGTTCCCACTTCACAGATGAGGAAGCTGAGACTCAGGAATATGAAAGAGAAGCGAAAGAGTTTGCCCAAGGTCACAACACCGGCACCTGGCAGCGTCTCTGGGCCTCTCAAGCCTCGGGTCTCGACAGGGCGGTGCTCACCTGGCACAGCGGACCCAGTTGATGTGCTGGCTTAGGGAGAACAGGAATTTCTGGCGATGAGTCGACCACACCTTAACCGTCTTGTCGTCGGAGGCCGTCACGAAAGACTGGCCATCACTGCAGAAGTGGATGCTCCTCACTGTGGCTGTGTGTGCCCGAAACACAGTGGACTCGCCTTTGCTGCAGGGGTGGGTACTCGGACTCAGGAAACCCGTAACGGCGACACGAGGGCCCAGGAGCATGTCAAAGCTCTCCCCACCCTTCAGGAACCCCTCCAAACTGACACAGGCCTGCGCACCCCAGTGCCCCACAGACTGCGTCAAGAGGGGACTCCTTCCAGATGGCTGGGGAAAGCGCAGAACCCCTCTCCCAGCACCAGGCGGAGGGCCCCACCCCGGCTGAAGCCCCAGCTTCTGACGGTACCTCTTCAGAAGGAGGGCAGATGTCCCACTATGACAAGGCCAGAGCCAGGATGGGGACCTGAGTGTGGACAGCTCTGGCTCCAGGGCCCCAGGTTCAGATGAGCCCTCAACGTCTATGACTCACACGTTGGGTATCCAGATCCGGACAGTTTTGTCCCGGGAGCCTGAGGCAAGAAGGTGTCCCGAAGGGGAGAAGTTCACACAGGTGACGGCATCCTTGTGGCCCGCAAAGCGGTAGGCACGTGACTGGGGCTTCATGTGCCAGATCATGAGGCATGAGTCCATGGAGCCACTGGCTGAGAAAGTAGGGACGCTGTGACCCTCAGGTCCAGTGGTCCTTGAGCCTCCAGCAAGACGAAAGAGTTAAGGGGGCAGGCGACAGGCCACACTTCCAGTGACAGCTAAGCTGGGGTTTGGAGAATCTCCGGGTTGTCAGCTCTCCAGGTAACAGGCCCACATGGGAGCCAGGCCAAGAGATGCCCTTCACATGCCAGCCCCAGGTGGCAACCCTGCAGGCCTCTGAGAACACCTGTCCTCCGCAGGGTCCCACAGAGTCACATCCTAAGGGCCCTAGAGAGCAAGTCCTCCCAACACAGGGGAGCCAGTCCAACCCAATGGGCCTTTTAGCATTGAGAGGGCCCACGTCAATCAGAAGCCTAGTGATCCCCAATAAAGATCAAATGACTTTAGTTTGCTCTTAATCTACACTGACCACAAGGCCAATAGCCTCTGACAGAGGACCCTGACCATAGGATAAAGGGAGAGCCTTGTCCACAGAAACAAGAAAGCTGCAGCCATGACAGCTATGTATGAGCCCCCAAGGAGCCAAAGAACAGGGGTACCCAGCTGCTGTGCAGGGGCAGTGGTAGAAGGCGCTCTACTCCATACTCTTCTCACTGGATGCTCCCATATTACTGTGGACAACAGAATGGCGGACCCAAGGAAAAGAAGCCACTGTTTAGGGCCATTCTGTAAGCCAGACCCAAGAGGTGGCTGGGATATACGCAGTGAAAATCCCAGAGCCTGGTGCCACCCTGAAAGGCCATGTGACCTTGGCAAGGCCACCTCAGAGTCTCACACACTGCATGCAGAATGGAGCACCCAGACAGCTGGCCAGTTGAAGCAAGATGCAGGTGTAGATAAAGCACCTGAGTCCTCTCTGTGCCCTACTTCCCCCACACCACACCTCCCAGGTAGAAAACCAGCCTTCTCGGCTCATAACCTAGTGCCTAGGAAAAGATGCCTCCTCTTACCCAGCTGCTTCGTGTTGAGACTGAAGTCCACACAGGTAACCGCATCTCGGTGGCCCTTAAAATGCCTCTCCAGTGAGGGGTCCTCCTGCGGAGAGCCGGGGTCAAATGAGTGAAAGCTTGGATGAGGATGGAGCTTGGCCCCAGGGCCAAGAGTCTTCCAATAGCAGCCAGGAGCATTTAAAAAATGCTCAAGGCCTCAAGGCATGATTTTGGATATAGAAAATCCTAGGGAATCCACTAAAAAAACTAAGCCAGTGAAGCAAGGTTGCAGGATACAAATAAGAACGATATACAAATATCTATTCTATACACCAGAAATGAACAATCTGAAAAATGACAGCAATTCTATTTATGACACATGAGAAAGAATAAATACTTAGAAATAATTTAACAAGAGGGGCGCCTGGATGGCTCAATCAGTACAGCATATGACTCTTGATCTCAGGGCCGTAAGTTTGAGCCCCACGTTGGATGGAAAACGCTTAAAGAAATTCTAGAAAGAAAGAGGGAAGGAGGGAGGGAAGAAAGAGAAAGAAAGAAACAAAGATGGGGCGGCGCCTGGTTGGCTCAGTCGGTTAAACGTCTGACTTCAGCTCAGGTCATGATCTCGGGGTTCATAGGTTTGAGCCCCACACCAGGTTCTGTGCTGTCAGTTCAGAGCCTGGAGCCTGTTTCAGATTCTGTGTCTCCCTCTCTCCCTGCCCCTCCCCTGCTCATGCTCTGTCTCTCTCTGTCTCAAAAATAAATAAAAACTATTAAAAAAAAATTCTAGGTAAATATCCCAAAGAATTGAAAGCTGTTTACACAAAAACTTGTACAAAAGTGTTCACAGCAGTATTATTTATGATAGCCAAAAAGTGGACAAACCTAAAGGTCCATCAAGAAATGAATGGGTAAAAAAGGGGTGCCTGGGTGGCTCAAGTGGTTGGGCATCTGACTTCGGCTCAGGTCATGATCTTATAGTTTGTGAGTTCGAGCCCCGTGTCAGGCTCTGTGCTGACAGCTCAGAGTCTGAACGCTGCTTTGGATTCTGTGTCTCCCTCTGTCTCTACCCTGTCCCCTTACCCCCCCACCTCCCGCTTACACTCTATCTCTCTCAAAATGAAATAAACATTTAAAAAGAGAGAGAGAGAGAGAGATGAATAGGTAAACAAAATGTGATCTCTCCATACAATGGAATACAATTTAGCAGTAAAAAAGAATGAAGAAACTGACACATGCTACAACACAGATGAACCTGGAAAATGTTATGTTAAGTGAAAAAAGCCAGGTAAAAAAGGCCACATGTTGTCGGATTCCATTTATATGAAAGATCCAGAATAGGTAAATCTATAGAGAATGAAATTAGATTAGTGAGGAGAAGGGAAGTGACTGTTGAATGGGTACAGGCTTCTCTTTGGGGTGACAAAAATGTTCTGGAGTTAGTGACGATTATTAGACAACACTGTCAATGTACTGAATACCAATAATTTTACATTTTAAGAGGGTACATTCTATGGCGTGTGAAAAATATTTCGATAAAGCTATTTTTCTAAAAGAACCAAAGAGAGAAAATGGAGTCTTTCAGCCACCCCTGTCCCAGGATTCAGATTCTGTACCCTCAGTCCCACTGTGAACTCAAAGGTCAGCCGAGACAGGCCCCAAGGGGCACTGCCACCATTTCCATTCTGCTCACTGTCAAGAAGGCAATAGTTTAGGACACTACTTACGAAGACATGGAGATAATATTCCAGAGACTCCATTCAACAGCAGCTTGCCTTAGCATCTGAAGAATTACAGCCCTGCCATGCAAACATCTCCTCCTACCCCAAATATCGGGAGTCTCAAAAAAGCATTTCAGGCACACCAGGGAGGCCAGCAAAACCTCCTCTGGGGGGAAAAATGTTCTTGGGAAAGAGCAAGGCCATTGCCACCTCCACAAAGCTGTAACCATAATAAAGGCCCTGTGCCCAACTCCACCCCCAGCACACCTGCCAGAGTCCCCTTTTCAACAAGAAAGGGAATGGCAGCTGGGGGAGGGCACTTAACCTCTTGGGAGAACAAGGGTAAGATAATGCTCACCTCTAGGCTCAGTGGGAAGAAGCAAGTTCAGATGCACCTCTGATCAGACGGCCTCTGAAACCTAACACCCTTCCCACGTCATCCCACCAGGGTCTGTGTTTCCTCATCTCCCCCAAAGGTGGATTATATACGGAAGGAAATGAGGAGGGACTTATGGGAAGGGCACTAGGTTAGGGGACAAAAAGCCTGGATCCTAAGCCTGGGCCCTCTGTTCAAGTCCCCACACACCTAAGGGTACCACCCAGTCTTCCTCTGAACCCAGCCCAAAAGTCAGACATGTTTAAACAATTCCTCAAAAAGAGGAGTTTTGGAGTGCTTCCCTCAAGAGGCACCGGAGACTCTGGGCATCCGAACCAGATGCTGCAGACCTGGGCTGCCCCTTCCGATCAAGGAGTACGCTAAACAAGCCCCTAACCAACCATCCACTGCTCAGGATGGCGAGACAGAGCCCAAGGGAGGCCCTGCGATGCCCCCAAGTTCGACCTCCAGTTGGAACATACCAGCACCAGTGTCTCCTCCGCTAGGATGCAAATCCTGGGAGCTGGGACTGGTTGGTCGGCCCCGGGAGCCCGCAAAGGGTTTGGCACGCAGAAGGTACTCACTACGTGTCCCCACCCAGTGTCCCCTGCACAGACGGTAAACTGGGGCCGGAAAGTACTGGCTCGGAACCCGGCTTCCCTCTCGAAGCCATCGCCCCGGCCAGGCGCCCACAGTCCCGGCGGAGAAAGTAAGGCCGGACAGCCGCCACGGGCGGAAACTCACAGAGCAAGTCGCAGCCATGGCGGGCCGGGGGCGCCCAAAGCGCCGGACGAGACAGCGTCGGCCGTTGCAGCAGGTTCAGTTTCCGCGCCCCCAACCGCCGCCAATAGCAACGCGGGTCGCGTTGCCACGCCCCGCCCACAACGATTAAAGGAGACGCAGCGCCTCGGCTTTTTGTCCCCGGCCGGAAGCAGAGTTGCTTGGATGGTTCTACGGTCTCCGCGTACAGCGCTTACAGACCAGGCAGCTCACGGACGCCGCCGCCAAAGGCCTCTGTCCACCGTCACTCATGCCCTGAGAAATTTAAAAACCCAGGATGAGGCGTTCACTCCACTAGCCCGTATCCCGGTTCACGAGACGGCGAGCAGAGCCCTCTGGGAAATGCAGTTTCAAGACGGCTGCCTTGTGTCGGCCGGAATGTGGAACTACTTTTCCCATAATACCTTGAGGATGGGCCGGGATTAACTACTTGTAGCAAGGATCCCGGAAGTGGAGGACACGTGGATCATGTGGCCTTGTTCTTTTAAAGGGCCCTTGAGGCCAGGTATTTTTTTCCCAATGCCTTAAGAGCCAATTAGTCGTCCCTCAAAGATTCTTTAAATGATTCGCTCCTCTGAACTTAAAACAAATGTTGATTTAAAGGCGCCTGAATGGCTCAGTCGGTTAAGTGTGACTTTGGCTCAGACAGGATGCCGTGGTTGGTAGGTTCCAGACCCACATCAGGCTCTGCTGTCTGCGGTGAGTCCACTTCAAAGCCTCTGTACCTCTGTCTCTCTGACCCTCCCCCAGAAATAAATAAACATTAAGATAAAGCACGCCAAGGGGCGCCTGGGTGGCTTAGTCGGTTAAGCGTCCGACTTTCGCTTAGGTCTTGATCTCGCGGTTCGTGGGTTCGAGCCCCGCGTCGGGCTCTGTGCTGACTGCCAGCTCAGAGCCTGGAGCCTGTTTCCGTCTGTGACTCCCTCTCTCTCTGACCCTCCCCTGCTCACGCCGTCTCTCTCTCTCTCCTAGAAATAAATAAAACATTAAAAAAAAATTTAAAAAGGTAAAGCACACCAAGTGTCAATTTAGAAGAACACCAGTCACGTGGATTCACGGGTGAAGAAATCTAGATTCTATTGTTATTGCTGCTTCCTTCTGTGACCTGTGACCTGGGGGTGGGGGGCGATGGGAAAGGGGAATACCTCTGCTCCAGGTCTCAGTTTACCCATTTATAATTGGAAGGAGTGTGATGCACCCTGCCCCTCTCTGGTCTCTTCAGCTCTGAGGAGGGTTTATAAATTCCATTTAAAAGAAAAGGAAACATTTCTAGATATGTCTTCTGAGGCAAGAGAAACAAAAGCAAAATTAAACTTATTGAGATTATATCAAGTTAAAAAGTTTCTACACTGCAAAGAATATAATCAACAAAGCTAAAAGACAACCTCCTGAATGGGAGAAGATATTTGTAAATGACATATCTGAGAAAAGGGTTAGTATCCAAAATATATAAAGAACTTAATAGAACTCAACACCAAAAATTTGAATAATCCAATTAAAAATGGGCAGGGGCGCCTGGGTGGGTCAGTCAGTTGAGCGACCAACTTTGGCTCAGGTCATGATTTCATGGGTTCATGGGTTCAAGCCCCATATCCAGCTTTGAACTGATCCCTTGGAGCCTGCTTTGGATTCTCTGTCTCCTCTCTCTGCCCCTCTTCCACCTGTGTACGTGTTCACGCTCTCTCTATCTCTCAAAAATAAATAAACATTAAAAAAAGAACGGGTGGAAGGGGGTGCCCAGGTGGCTCAGTCAGTTAAGCATCCAACTTCAGCTCAGGTCATGATCTCACGGTTCATGAGTTCAAGCCTCGTGTCAGGCTCTGGGCTGACAGCTCAGAGCCTGGAACATACTTTGGATTCTGTGTCTCCCTCTCTCTCTATGCCCCTCCCCCACTTGAGCGCACACGCGCGCACATTCTCTCTCTCTCTCTCTCAAAAATAAACATTAAAAAAATAATTTGGGGGCACCTGGGTGGTTCAGTTGGTTAAGCATCCGACTTCGGCTCAGGTCGTGATCTCACAGGTCTATGGGTTCAAGCCCTGCATCAGGCCTTGTGATGATGGCTGGGAGCCTGGAGCCTGCTTCAGATTCTGTATCTCCAACACTCTCTGCCTCCCCCCCGCTCATGCTTTCTCTCTCTATCTCTCTCTCAAAATTGAATAAACGTTAGAAAAAAATTCTTAAGTGGAGGGAAGACATGGGCAGTTCACCAGAGAAGACATAGAGATGGCCAACAGACACATGAAAAGATGCCCAACATCACTCATCAATAGAGAAAATGCAAATTAAAGCCATAATGAGATATCACCTCATACCAGTCAGATGGCTAAAATCAAAAACACAAGAAACAACAAGCGTTGGCAAGGATGTGGAGAAAAAGAAACCCTTGTGCACTGTTGATGGGAATGCAAACTGGTGCACTCATTGTGGAAAACAGTAGAAATGTCTTCAAAAAAATTAAAAATAGATCTGCCATGTTTTTATTTACCTAAAGAACACAAAAACACTAATTTTTTTTTTTACAAATAGTTTATTGTCAAGTTGGTTTCCATACAACACCCAGTGCTCATCCCCACAAGTGTCCTCTCCATGCCTATCTCCCCCCACCCCCACCACACCCATCAGTCCTTAGTTTGTTCTCAGCATTCAAGAGTCTCTCATGGTTTGCCTCTCTCCCTCTCCCCCACTATTTCCCCCTTCTTCTCCCCCATGGTCCTCTGTTAAGTTCCTCTTAATCCTTCTATGCGTGCAAACATATGGTATTTGTCCTTCTCTGCCTGACTTATTTCGCTCAGCATAACACCCTCAAGGTCCATCCATGTTGCTACACATGGCCAGATTTCATTGTTTCTCATTGCCATTTGGTATTCCATGGTATAGATAAACCACATCTTCTTGATCCATTCGTCCGTTGATGGACACTTAGGCTCTTTCCATGTTTTGGCTATTGTTGAGAGTGTTGCTATGAACATTGGGGTACATGTGCTCCTATGCATCAGCATTCCTATATCCCTTGGGTAAATTCCTAGCAGTGCTAGGATCCTCTTATTTTTAAAGCACAATACCATCCTTGTTGTTTATTTGATTCGGATGGGAACATGTAGAGAACGGGGGATATATGACTCTCGCCAGTCAGTATAGATGCTGATCAGAAGTCAGTCTTGTGTTATCCTTTTTTTTTTTTTTTATAGAAAGAAGAGGTAGTTTATCTTTATTTTTTTTTTACAAATAGTTTATTGTCAAATTAGTTTCCACATAACACTCAGTGCTCATCCCCACAAGTGTCCTCCTCCATGCCCATTCCCCCCTCCCCGCCACATCCATCAGTCCTCAGTTTTTGTCAGCATTCAAGAGTCTCTCATGCTTTGCCTCTCTCCCTTTCCCCCACCATTTCCGCCCTTCTTCTCCCCCTTGTTCCTCCATCAAGTTCCTCCTAATCCTCCTATACGTGCAAACATATGATATTTGTCCTTCTCTGCCTGACTTATTTCGCTCAGCATAACACCCTCAAGGTCCATCCATGTTGCTACACATGGCCAGATTTCATTGTTTCTCATTGCCATGTAGTATTCCATGGTATAGATAAACCACATCTTCTTGATCCATTCATCTGTTGATGGACACTTAGGCTCTTTCCATGTTTTAGCTATTGTGGAGAGTGCTGCTATGAACATTGGGGTACATGTGCTCCTATGCCTCAGCATTTCTGTATCCCTTGGGTAAATTCCTAGCAGTGCTATTGCTGGGTCATAAGGGAGTTCTATTGTTAGTTTCCTGAGGAACCTCCACACTGTTTTCCAGAGGGGCTGTACCAGTTTACATTCCCACCAACAGTGTAGGAGGGTGCCCGTTTCTCCACATCCTCGCCAGCATCTAGAGTTCTCTGATTTGCTCATTTTAGCCACTCTGACTGGCGTGAGGTGGTATCTCAGTGTGGTTTTGATTTGTATTTCCCTGATGAGGAGGGATGCTGAGCATCGTTTCATGTGTCTGTTGGCCATCTGGATGTCCTCTTTGGAGAAGTGTCTGTTCATGTCTTCTGCCCATTTCTTCACTGGGTTGTTTGTTTTTCGGGCGTGGAGTTTGGTGAGTTCCTTATAGATTCTGGATATTAACCCTTTATCTGATATGTCATTTGCAACTATCTTTTCCCATTCCGTTGGTTGCCTATTAATTTTCTGGGTTGTTTCCTTGGCTGTGCAGAAGCTTTTAATCTTGATGAGGTCCCAACAGTTTATTTTTGCTCTTGATTCCCTTGCTTTTGGGGATGTGTCAAGTAAGAAGTTGCTGCGGTGGAGGTCAAGGAGGTTGTTTCCTGCTTTCTCCTCTAGGGTGTTGATAGTTTCCTGTCTCATGTTCCGGTCCTTTATCCATTTTGAGAAAAACACTAATTTGAAAAGACATATGTCCCTCCCCATGTTTAGTGCAGCATTATATACAATAGCCAAATTATGGAAGCAGCCCAAGTGTCCATCGATAGATGAATGGATAAAGAAGAGGTGACATATTTATACAATGGAATGTTGCTTTGCCATAGAAAAGAATGAAATCTTGCTATTTGCAGCGACATCAATGGATCTAGAGAATGTAATGCTAAGTGAGATATGTCACAGAGAAAGACAAATACCATATGATTTCACTCGTGGAATTTCAGGAACAAAACAAGAAAGGAAAAAAGAGACAAACTAGTGGTTATCAGTGAGGAGGTGCATAGGGGGAAATAGGTAGAGGGATACACTTATCACAATGAGCACTAAGTAATGTATAGAATTGTTGAATCACTATATCATACACCTGAAACTAATATAACAGTGTTAACTACACTGGATTAAAATAAATAATAAAATTAAAAAGTAAGAGAAAAGGAGACTTTCTAGGGGCCTGGCCACTAGAGGCCATCCCTGCTCACTTTCTGCTGTCGGAAAGTCCAGGCTGTCCTTGTTTAGACTTTCCACCCTGTCTCACTCCAGGCACCTTCCCAACCTGGAACTGACCTGCACCGGATGTTTTGCAATATTCAGGAACCTTCTGTCACCTCCCCTGGACAGGCCAGTTTGGCCAGACTCCAACACTGATTAGGATCTGGCCAAACCCTGAGGTTTCTTACTACATCCTGAGACCTAAGATGGTGTCTATGTGGACCTCCAAACCAGAACATATTCAGAAAAAGGCACGTGTAGATAGCTGGCATGGAGAGGAGTGGGTCTCTCCTTTGGACCTGGAATGTCTGGGGCCATAAAGAAGAAACAGAGATACATTTAATCTCATCTTCACTGTGATTTGGCATAGAATTGGTTTCTTTACATTACA